TTTTTTTTTTTTTGTGTTTTCATCTTTCTTTTTGGATCTTAAGCTCTTGTATTATTCTATACTTGGAACTGCTGTGTAGCGTTATGGCAATGACTTTTTCCTATTATTACTAACAGTTGAATAGGAGTTGCCCCTATTCTATCTCACTATATATGTTTTGCAATTTGGTACAAGATTCTTTATCACAAAAATTATCTTATCATGTTATAATTTCTTTGAAAATATTGTGTGTATATGTAAAACTACTATATAATATAAAAAATATTAGTTAAAATGAAAAACAGTTTTGAGTGCAGGCTTAGTGGGTGAATAAGTGTTGGATAAATTGATGATTTTTGCTTTACTTAACTGGATGGTATGTTGTGTTTTGTGTAAACTGAAAAATCAGATAAATTTTTTTCTGCTTGCTAAGTTTGAAATAACATGTTTGTTCCTAATGAAATCAGAATCTCTGAAACAAAATATGTACATTAGCATTTACATATTGTATGTTTCCGAGTTACATTTATTGAAGGGAGGTATTAATGAGCTTATATATCATATGCTCTTATTCATATACTTTTATTTAAACTCTGAATTGTATATACTGTATTTATATATATTTTTGCTTAGTGATGGTATATTCTACACGCATCCTACAATTAAGAGTCCATGAAAGTTGGAACTAAAGATGACCCAAAGACACATCCTCAAAGGAGGTCTCTCTTATCATGGCTGAAGTACTTGCTTGTTCTGTTGACTCTGATATTCAGCTACCTAATTTGCTGCCAAAGCCAAAGGGTTATTGTTGAAATGTGAAAAGGCGTCTTTGCCTGCTGTCATTAATATAGTATTATCTTGATGAATTTTTCTTTTCATCCCTACTGGTGATGTAGAGTGTGTTTCAACAAAGGTAGTCTCAAGAAACTCATCTCGTTTTACAGTCATCTCATTTTTGGGACCAGAAACCCAACAAGAGAGGGTCAAGACAATCTGAAAAATTCTCATGGGAGATTGCCATATTAGTTATGGAATGTTAACTAGTATGGATTGTGTATTGATGCAGCAATCACTGGCATAAATGCCTCCTCCATTGATGTAACTCCAGGTGATTCCTTATGTAAGCTTTTTTTTTTTTTTGGTAATGTTGTTAAGTGGTTGCTAATTTATATTTAAGGTTTCTTTTTAGCTGCTCAAGATATTTGGGATGATCACAAGAATATCTTATAAATGCAGTAAGTGTTACTTAAGGGGTTAAAGGAT